CCCCACTCCATGTTAATCCCAGGTGACTTGTGTGCTGGCTTTTCTAATGGATGTTTCTGTAGTGGCCATTTTTACCCCAATTACAAGAAAATAAGAAGTAGTTAAACTGTACGAGGTGATGACTATCAATCAGTACATTTTTTTTTCATATCCATGTGCAGTGTAGTGTGATCTTAAGTAAATAGTATGGTTCCCTTAAAAATTTGCTTTCACTATAAACTGTGGAAGCAGACGTAGACGTACACAACAAGTCAGTCATCAGTTAGTATATGAACTCCACAGCCGCCTGGAGTATTTTTAACAGGGCAAAAAACGAACAAAACAATCTGTGGGATTTACACATAGAAGTTACGAAACATCAGTATCATAACTGTGCTGCAATAATCTAAACTCTGCTTAACTGCTCGCTTGTCACATCTGATGATCGCATCATTTGCAGCATATGGAGACCTGGATCATGTATTGTTGCAGGCTGGGCACGACAATCAAGGACAGATTGTGTCCCATATTTAGTCAGGAGAGGAGCATGACGGACAGACGGATAGACCTGCATTGTATCTCATCTCATTGTGAATCATCTTTATATTCAGTGAGCTGTGACATTGTAAACTCTCAACAACAGTTTGTGGACCTCAGTATTACTCATGCCATTACCCTACTCCTCCTGTTTGGAGAGATAGGGACCCATTGCTCTTTTTGTTTTATTTTCGTGTCAAAATATGTAGACGGTGTGCCACTTCTACCAGGCAAAGTTTGTACTCGTCCTGTTTTTTGTTCATTTTTTTTGAAGGACAACTCTGATGGCTGCAGACGTGTCTCTATCTTTCTACAGATCCCAATCCTACAGAGGCACAACTAATTTACTTTACCTGCTCTTAGCATTGATGCTTTCTTCTGCCTTTTTAATATAATGTCAGCCAGCAAATAGCTTTCAGATGCCCTACAGCCACCATCTGTCGGGAATCACATACAGGCCAACACCAATATATATTTTTAAGAGCATAAAAGTCCCATGAACACTTAGATTTTAACTAAGTGACTTTTTAAATATTGGAAAATCAAGATCCATGCTGATTTCACATTGTTTAATTTTTGTAAAGATTCAGATTAAAGACGCTGCCTGCTGTTGCTGACAAAACACTTCTTTCCAAAGGTTACATTTTGAGTGCTATTTGTTAAATTGAATCTGATTTCTTGTGTTTGGGATTTGTCTGTTATTGTCTTGAATCAAAATCTTGCTGTTGTCTTTCAGTAGCATCTTTTAAGATAAGCTTAGAAGTCTTATACCATATGAGGAGGTTTAGCTCTTGACTTTTCTCTTCTTGTACCTTTCCTTTTTTTTTTTTTTTTTTACCAGACTGCCTTTTCAGATTGTGTCCTATGAACAGATATTCTGCACAGAAACAGTTCTGGAAGGCAGCTAAACCTGGAGGAAACAGCACCACTGACACAGTCCTCCTCACCAAACTCCATGTAAGTGTCCTCTTCACCTTTGCTGCTGCTCTATGCATTTTGTAATAGAGAAGACAATTAGACAATTTTAGTGACTAGAAACTAAAGACTAGTTCTATATAGAATTTTAATCCAAACGTAGACTTTGTATTTCTATTTTGAATACAATTTGAATAATAGCTAGACCTGGGATGAGTGAAAACCTTCATGGATATCATTTCTGTAGCATCATACTTTCTATATATAGACTTTATGAAAGCCCTCTGACTTCTAATACCTGCCTGTTCTTTCCTGCTCCGGGTTTTAGCACGCTGCTGACCTAGAGAAGAAGCAGAATGAGTCTGAAAATCGCAAGCTGCTGGGGTCAGTCATCCAGTATGGAAATGTTATACAGGTGTGTTCAGTAGAGATAAGGTGCTTTGGTAGATAACCCTGCAGCACCATGTATGGCATTGTGTGCTGAATAATCTTGTCTATAGTTAAAACTTTCATCAGAGAGTTTTGAATAACAGCTTCATCAAAAAAAAAAAAGTCCTCTGTTTTAATACCTTATCTCACTTTGGTCCTTATCAGTGAATAGTTTGCACACATGTATGAGATCATGTTAAACCAAGAATGGCAAAGCATTCCTACTGTATGACGTACACAAAGAAGACAGTGCACAAAGTGTTAGATGTCCTTGTTGCAATGAACTTTCATTCTAGTTATACAATGAACAACTCTTGGTTTCTGGTTTGCAAGAACAACCGTAGAAATAGTTTAAAACATAGATATTATGTCCTTGCATTGTAACTCTATCTTTACAGCATACGTTGGATTATCTAACACATTTTGCATGAAAGCCTTAAGTGGTCTGTTCTGTAAGATTAGGGTTGGGCTGCTAGTTTTGTCTGATGGTACGCACACAATATGAATAGCTTGGGCGACTCCTGTTAAGTTGGTAATTACTTATTTTGTGGTCAAGAGACGGTCATTTAATTTTAGCTCGTGAAAAATATTTGAAGATAAGCGATTTCAAGGACATAAATATTTTAAGGGGCAATAAGGATACTGAAGTTACATATTTCACTGACTGTTCCCATGAGTCAAGATGTGCCAGATGTGACATATTTCCTTCGTTGTACCAGTTCTGTAATTTGTCCCACTGCCTGCATTATGCCATTAAGAGAAGCCATGTGTAACACTGATTTTTGTTATGCCAACAGTTGCTGCACTTGAAAAGCAATAAATACCTGACGGTGAACAAGCGTCTACCTGCACTGTTGGAGAAAAATGCCATGAGAGTGACACTAGACTCCGCGGGAAATGAAGGTTCCTGGTTCTACATCCAGCCTTTCTACAAGCTGAGGTCCCTGGGAGACAGTGTGGGTAGAGTGGGCTGTGGGATTCAAGAGAATTATGCTCAGAAGGAGACATTTATGATGTATTTTTAAACCTTTTTAGTGTTGGGATTCAAAAGTGACTTGGACTAGCTTTAAACTGTATTTTAACCAAATTAGTCATTTTGCAGTTTGGTCGGTATTGAACATAGAAGTGCATTTTCATACACTTAAGTTTGAGTGGAATTTTTTTCTTCTTGCCCACAAAGGCTAACTGATACAGCATATGACACAACAACTTCAAACAAGACTAGTTATCTACACTCTACCTGCATTCTAGTAACAGAGAGCGTCCAATCATGTTTCAGCACCATCGTACAGGCTGCTTTATTCTTTCATTTTTCATTTATTTTGAACATATTTTAAAAGTAAAATAAAAATATACATTACAAACAAAGCAAACAACAATCAAAGCATACTTTCTGTAGTGGCTCGATTTTTTTCTTAACTAGTCTGTGTTCGAAAAGGGTGTAGGATGAAGTGAAATAAGTTATCCAGTCCTACCCCTTTTAATGGTTGCATGTCATGTTTGACACGTGAGGCTTAATGATGAAGAAGACCTTTTTTGGTGAAAACATAAAAGATGATGCTCAAATTGAATGCTCTGACTGAACAATTAGTTGTATAGCTGCACTGTAAGAGATGGAGTCACCAGCTTTTAATAAGAAAGAAAAAAAATAATTTTCAAAGGATATCTGTGCTGTTGCAGTTAGTTTTTATACTAGAAAAAAAGTTGTCTTGTAGTTGTGAATCCAATAATGTGCAATGGTTCATGTACTAACCCCAGTTGATATCTATTGTATCTTGGTCAAAGGCAGTGGAAAAAGAGGCTGTGTGAAAAAAGAAGTTTCCATTAGAGGTCTTAACACAATCTATTTTTTTAGATAAAGTTATCACTCAGTATACCTGTTGTTTGTCTTTGTATTATTTACACATTAGTTTCTTTCTTAGGTTACTGGACTTATGAGAATTCAAATCTATTATAGGTTCAAGGTTTTTAGTTTAAACCTTTACTCACAAATAAGGTCATTTTCTCAGTTGCTTACTAGGTTAATCTTATGGCAGGTGTACACAGTGGAGTGAGCCAACACAAATAGGGCACACTCACACTAGGCCCTGTTGCCTAGCACGATTGCCCGCACTGCCCAGTCCCCCGCTGGCCTGCACTCATACTGCTCCAGGCCAAACCAGACCTGAGCACGGTTACCTCTGTACGTACGTCATGCATGTTGTGCACCAGCACGGCGCTCTGGGGCTTTTTTCTCCAAGTGAAGATTTGTAGTTTGCCTAATCCGATGGATATTCATATTCACTTTTTTGACTGCTTCAAGTTTTCAAGGCTTATTATGAGTCGTTTTTTTAAGAGACGGCCCTCTTACAATCCTACATTTCTCGATTATGCAAGACTGACATCAGTTATACCTCATATCCATGTTGCGTTCCGGTGCTTGCGAATCGTACATTAGCAAATGTATTGTGCCGAAGCCCACCTCTTCCAACCTGGCCAGGGCCAAGGAAGTGTACCGTGCTTGAGCATGGTACAGAGCAATCACACTAGTAAAACAAACTGGACATCGTGGGTCAAACGTGCTTGTGCACGGTATGGATTGCCTAGTTTGAGTTTGCCATAAGATAAGGATGATTGGACCAAAACACTTTTTTTCAAATCCTTGCTGCATATGCCCATACAGTTTCCTTTAGTGATGGTCTGGGTCAGAGCTCCTTTACACCTCAGTCATTCTTTGTCTGATGCGGTTCTCCTTCACACAACATGGTCCACAACTCCATCTAGTGCTTATCTGGAGACTAGCATGATGCAGTTTGAGGACATGTTACATTCACTTTGTGAGGAAAGGAAATTGCAGTGTTGAGATTGATGGCTAATACCATGGGACTTGACATACTTTTGGTTTGGAGTTAAAACAGAGTTCTCCATCGGACGCAGAGGTGTATATTTAGCACATTTCTTGTGAACGATACTGAGTAAAGGAACTAGATTCCTATTGATTTTTATTTGAGTCCCTTAAACAAATTGTCATATGAATGCATTATAAACTGTATATTTATGTTGAACCTACAGGTGGTGATTGGAGACAAAGTGGTCCTTAACCCTGTGAATGCTGGACAGCCCCTCCATGCCAGCAGCCACCAGCTAGTTGACAACCCAGGGTGCAATGAGGTGCAGAAAACGTGTTAAATATAAGACTTAATTTTCATCTCATCATAGGTTGAACCGCTTCATTTTATTACAAGACAAACATTTTTTATAGAATGACATGTTTTTTTTCTTTAAATGTGTCTGATTTGATCAAACTGTTCGTGTGTCTTTCAGGTGAATTCTGTAAATTGCAACACGAGTTGGAAAGTTGTTCTGTTTATGAAATGGAGTGACAACAAGGAAACAATACTTAAAGGGGTAGGGACCCTTTTTTGTATGTAATCATCTTATAGTGATGCATTTTCATGAATTTGAATTTTGAAACTCCTTCATTAGTCAACTTTATAGCACACATATACGATTATATTAAACAACAAGTGTGTATAGAATCAATGGCAAGATGATTCATATTGCAAGAAAATAATTGCACGTGTGTAAAATGTTGCTTTAAATCAGTTCCACATTCGACTTGCTTGTTTATGTATGTATTGTATGTGTCTGTATGTATTGGCAGGGTGATGTAGTCCGGCTGTTCCATGCAGAGCAGGAGAAGTTTCTCACTTGTGATGACCACAGGAAGAAGCAGCATGTTTTCCTTAGAACAACTGGCCGCCAGTCTGCCACTTCTGCAACCAGCAGCAAAGCACTGTGGGAAATAGAGGTTAACACAAACATGTTTTTAAAATAAGACATAATTCACTCGTGTGCTTTTCTTTAAATCATCTAGTCATTTAGCTTATTAAAGACTTTTTTATGGTTTATTTGATAGGGACAGATACAATATACATTGAAAAACTGAAAACAGCAATCCAATCCAAGTGTCATAGTGTTTATAGCGGATTCTAATTTGCAACACTTGTCTCTAGAAGGAATTTTGGGTAAATAAAAAATTAAACAGTTAAAAGGGAAAAAGAGTAAACTGGGTAAGACAGACATTTAGTTGTGATATAGCTCAAAAAATTAAACATGCGTACAAGTCTGTTGCTGAACTAACCAGGATTTGGTGGCTGTCTTAAAAGTGGTGAAGTCGTAAGTAAGCTTCAAGTGATCAGGTAGTGAGTTCCAGGATTTTTACTCCTTTCCCAGAAAAAGCTGTTTGAGCAACAGATGAATGGCAAAATCAAACTTTCAGTTTCCACTTGAAGCTGCTCTGCTGCAGCCCTGTAGTCTCCGTATGTATTTGCAGAAAGGCTGAGGAGCAAGTCTGTTTAAACATTTATAATGTCAGTGGAAGGGAAACATCTTACTTTTATTTGTATTTTTTAAGTGAAATATGACATTTTATTTGTATTTTTTCCTCATCTTTTGTCACTGCCAGGTTGTGCATCATGATCCATGTAGGGGAGGTGCAGGCTACTGGAACAGCCTGTTCAGGTTTAAACACTTGGCCACTGGGTGTTACTTGGCTGCAGAGATGGGTGAGGTGTGTCAACTCCTTCTCTTTCAGCTCACTGTGTTTTAATTATGTGTCAAACATCAAACAACAAAACAGCAAATTGAGTCTATTCTCGATCACCAATAAGCTGCGTAATGTTAAAATAGTGGAGGGAATTGAAAACCTGGTGCTGTGTCCAGGATTTCAACAAAATTATATTTAGGAGGACTTTTGACATGAAAATATTTTCCCCAGGTTAATCAAGACTTTGAGGAGGAAAGTGCTGAGCAGCGCTCGTCGGTAAGACCATTTCTCTCATTCTGTGAGTGCTTAGCAACTCTACGCTAAATGCTTTACTTCTGTTGATCTAATCGGTTCAATTCTGTGCTGGATCTTTGCTCTCTGCTCCAGGTTGTGGACTTTACACCCTTTAATTTCCAGGTACTGTCCTATAATCTTAACTTGGCTGCAGCAACTTTACACAAAAACCACTGTCATGCCTGCACATGATCCTGTTACTTCCTCTGCTGGAAGGCACATGTTATCACAAATTACTTTTGAAATCTAGGTTATGTCTTCACATGTTAATGGCAACAGATTTCTGCTTTGGTCTCATTGTGGTATCATCTCAGTTGATTGAAGTTACCATTAGGTGGCAGTGTTATACAAACCATTATCAGCCTTTCATTGATGTTGTGTGACCCTGTAGTGATAATCTATTTACTGTGAAGTCCCAACAACCTGTGTTGATGACTGAAGTATATTTTACTATTTACTATTTGCAGAGCCAATCTGTAATTTTAGCTTCAGTCATGACAAGTAGATTGATGTTAAAATGTTTATACTCTCCTTATCTTGTATGAGCATAAGTAGCTCCTTGAATTGTGATTGTTAAACATACTAAACATGAACTTTGTTGCAAATGTTTAGCTCGTGCTTCAGTCCCTTTCCCTGCATGTGTTCTTGCTCTAGCTTGATGCGGATAATGAAGCTTTACGAGGTCGTCTGCGAGCACCACAGGAGAAGATCATGTACACTTTGGTGCCAGTTCCTGATGGCATGGATATTTCCTCCATCTTTGAGCTGGATCCTACTACTCTGAGAGGGGGTGACTCCATGGTACCAAGGTATAATATTGATTTTAATATAGATAGATACACTGTACCTACACACCTTCTTACAGTAGCCTTTCTCAAAGCAGAACATGACTTAAGGACATATATCTGACATCTTTACAGCTTTCTACAACAACAGAGTTGAAAATAAAAATTAATGATTAAAGATGGTGTGGGGATTGTAAAAACAATCAAGGCTGTAAAAGAGACTGATACATGATGAGACTTAAAGCCCTGTCTAGGGAAAACATATTTCAGATATGTACAAAAATTACGGAGACTCTTCTTTGAGTTTAAACATTTTAGGAGCATAACAGAAAAGACAGTACCTGATCTGGATTGGGCAGCTGTGGCTCAGTGGTAGAGTTAGACATTAGTTAAGCATAAAGTTGGGGTTTGAACCCCAGCTCATGCTCCACATTTAAATGTTTTCAAGCTGCTGAACTACGGTGGCTGGGAAGTGCAAAACAAAATAACAAAGTGTGAAACACTTTTTACAAAGCTTGATGTAAATTTACATTTTCAAAAACATTTGTTTTCGTTTTAGATAACATTTTATGTACAGGTAGCTAAAAGTAACAATTTTGTCAATATGTGATAGCTAACCTTTGGATTTTCTGTCAATCTTTTAAAATCCTCCATTTTGTTCCTTTGATTTTTGGACAATATTGTCTGCATTTCTTCTAAAATTAGAGAAGTACATCTGTCCCTGTCACTGCACGAGATGAAAACAGGCTCTTCAAGTTTCTAAAGCCTCCATTGTGTCACATCATCAGGTGTGTGCATTCATGCTACAGGTTACTACTGTTAGCACCTCCCATTGCTACCTGAAATAACCCTGTCCCTCTAACTGTAGCCAAGGGACTAATTATTAATGCCCAGGAGAACCAGTACACAAAGGTAATCCTGTTGGCTTCAGTAGGATTTCAAGAAACACCTGCCAAGAATATAGCTACAGCCTGCTATCTGTGCATGTGGCCTGACAAGCTAAACACACACACACACACACACACACACACACACACCTCTTGTTTCACACATGTAGAGGGTACAAAAGATGAAGTTGGCTCAGACTTTACTATGCGTACAGGTTTAGTGCTTAATGACGGGGAGTTGATACTGAGCAGGTCAATCCTGGCTAAGCTGTAAAGTCACACATGTGGCTGAGGAAGCCGTCATAAACAATCTCCTCCCTACCGTCAGAGCATTTATACCTATAGTTTAATCTTGTTGTGACAAGCATCTAATGCAATGTCCAGTAAATCCGTTCTTTATGTGCACATGATCATCCATTTTGTTGGCACTGTTTCAGAGGCGCATTCATTTATGAATGTTTCATCAACATTTATGAGGCCTTGGAAAGTTTTTGACTGTTACGTTTCTGCCTTCTTTTCATCATGTAAATGGGATATTGATAATGTTGTAATACTTTTGAAGAAGTATTTCAACATATACAATTGAGTCAAGATAAATAATTTACTAATAGATATCTTGATGAAAACCTTCAATCTGTTATGGTTGTACTTTTTTGATCCTGTCTTACTGACTTTATCTAATTCTTTCGTCATTTTCAAGCATGGCCATAAAGATTATGAGCTTGTGTGCTCAATAAATGTATCAAAATTAGGATTAGGATTTATTGTACTGGAGGACAGTGGATAAAGTAGGAATCCGAGCAAGAGAAAGGGGAATTGACATGCGGGAAAGTGGATATTATCAAGTAACCTTGATAATATACAAAAGTGTCCTTAAGAAAATCCAGTGTTATAATTCAATAGATAGTAAGCCTGTTGAATTCGTCATTCATGATTAGTATGTAAAATGCATTTCTAGTTATCTAAAAAAAAACAAAAACAACAACTCTGAAGCAGGATAATCATCAGCGGTAGATTTGGTTTGATAAGTAGCTGCTGATGAGCATTCTTGTTGGGCATGTTGTTGGGATCAAACATGTACTGTATCTTCATCCTAACTGTCAGGTATTTGGGGCACAATGACACCTTGTACCGTTCCCTGTAGCTTAATTTTTAATTTATCATCCCATCCCCCCCTGTCACTTTTAGGAGCTCCTATGTCCGGCTAAGACACCTGTGCACCAACACATGGGTGCACAGCACCAACAATCCCATTGACAAAGAGGAGGAAAAACCTGTTATGTTACGGGTGAGTAGGTTATGAGTAGGCCTGGATGTTTGGCACAGCTGATGTTATTTAAACTGAAAACTAAACACTGTAGATCTTTTCAGATTGGAACCTCTGGAGTAAAAGAAGACAAGGAAGCTTTTGCTATTGTACCAGTGCCACCAGCAGAAGTGCGGGATCTAGACTTTGCCAATGATGCAAGTAAAGTGTTGGCATCCATAGCTGGCAAACTTGAAAAGGGCACCATTACCCAAAACGAAAGGAGGTATGTAGCAAGCTATCAGACTTTAAATATCACTCTGTGAGGCATTATGTATAGTAATACTTTGTTTTAATGTAGATATTGCTCTTGGAAAGAAACCCAGACATCACTGATATAGCTGCATAAGAACCTTTCTTTAAGTTGTCTGTCATGCTCTACTGTTTGTATTTGACATCTACACTTACCTATGTATCTCTTTCAGGTTTGTGACCAAGCTCCTGGAAGATCTAGTTTTCTTTGTGGTGGACATCCCCAACAGTGGTCAGGATGTTTTGGAGATAATGGTTAACAAACCTGACCGGGAAAGACAGAAACTCATGAGAGAGCAGAACATCCTTAAGCAGGTTAGTCTGAAACCTCAGAGTCCGTTACTGCACTGATGAATTGTTATGAAAACAAGCAAAATTTCTGTGTATTCAAATGATGAATTTCCATTTCAGATTTTCAAACTTCTCCAAGCCCCTTTCACAGACAGTGGTGATGGTCCCATGCTGCGGCTGGAGGAGCTTGGAGACCAGCGCCATGCTCCTTTTAGACATATTTGCAGACTTTGCTACAGAGTTTTACGCCATTCCCAGCAGGATTACAGGAAGAACCAGGTAGGTGGGCGCAACAATTCCACCCTAAACCCTGATCCTATGTCCTTTCTTTTGCAGTAATTATTCCCTCTTTCTTGCACTTTCACAGGAATACATAGCCAAACAGTTCCGCTTCATGCAGAAGCAGATAGGATATGATGTGCTGGCTGAAGACACAATAACAGCTCTGCTTCACAACAACCGGAAGCTGCTAGAGAAACACATCACTGCTGCAGAGATAGACACATTTGTCACTCTAGTGAGGAAGAACCGGGAGCCAAGGTGAGGCTAACAGAAAGGGACTTGCCTCACATTGTTTGTTAAATTGGACAGAGAGAAAGCAGCTGGATTTGCTTGTTTTATAGCTCCTAAGAAAAGTAAATGTATGCATGTGTCTTCAAACATGAACAGAGAACTACAAGTGAAACTGTCAGCAACGTACTTGCCGATGCTTTAAGCACTGAATGATATGCACACCCAGGTTGTAGCTATACTAAGAACGTCATGTGACCTCAGATGAACCAGACTGGTCTATATATGCCTGTGTCATCAGAGGATCTGTTCCTGCTGAATCTTCTCGAGAAGACACAAGGATTCCAAGTGACTGGACACTCTGGTGGTCATCCAAGATTCATAGAATTCATAGAATTCACTGTATGACCCATACCAACATAGTCACAAGGAATCGCTAACATACAAACATCACTGCATTGAAGCTAAAGAATGAGGTAAAGTGACCCCACCCACATCGGGGAATTGGATGTTATAAACTCTTTAGGGGACTCTATAGAACCTTGTGTAGGTGCTCAGTGATGGCCAAGAGGCCACAGCACAAAATGCCTTTAGGGGCATCTCTCTAATGGGCTCACGGTGGAGAGACACCCCTCATGGAATAGCACCACTATCCAGAGGGCATAGGGTGACCAGCTGTCTGTTATGCCTAGTTGATCATGTCCACAATCCAGTGGGACAACTGCTGCTTGGACAGAGCACAATCTCTCTAAGGACCACCATGACATACAAATAATTGGTCTGATCTACGCATCGGGTCATCTCGCCCTGTATGCTCCTAAGGTATGCACCAGGCACAGCTGCACCGACTTGTTATCTTCTTCTCCCAGTGGGTGGTCAAACTGCACTAGCTGTATCGGCTGATCACGATTTGACCTTGACAGAACCTTGGGCAGAAATGCATTATTTGGCAACAAGGTGACCCCTGTGTTATCTGGGCTCCACCTCAGACATACAGGACCTACAGTCAAGGCGTGGAACTTCCCTAATTGACTGCGCCATTCCATAAGGAATGGAGGAAGGTAGTTTTTACCGATAACCACTGCAGCTCTGCCTGTAGCAGGGGTTCAACACAAACAGTGCTCTCTGGGCTCATGGTGTCAGAGGGCTGTTCACCTCTGTGTGGGTGAACCAGAGGGGGGCAATTGGTTGTCCAGCAGAAGGGGCAGGTCCCAAGCTAGCGCTCTCTGGGCTCATGGTGTCAGAGGGCTCTTCAACTCTGTGTGGGAGAACCAGAGGAGGCAGTGGGTTGTCGTCTCTAAAACAAAAAGTTCAACTTTGGCCCTGGCGAAGTGGTCCCAGAAGTTGATCATCACCTATGATTGTAGATGCCATTCCCCTGGAGAAGGGGACAGGGATTGTGCCACCTGGTTTCTCTCTTCTGGTAGGTACATTGGCCTGTGCACTGGTGCATCCAGTGAAGCCTCCTGCAGGGATGCGGAGAGGGCAAGCATAAGGTGGGACATTGAGTTCCCTATCCGTCCCATTGGAGCTGCTGCATTATAAGCCTTAAACAGGAGCTCATCTGTTAGCCTTGATTGAAGACTGGGACAATATGCATCCTGCCTCAGGGCCTTGTTGGGAGACACAATAAGAGCTGCAATGGTTGGCTTTATTGCTGGCATGTGGTCCAACCCAAACTTTGCCGCATCCTGTATAGCTACGAGGGCCTGGGCATCCGACGTAGCGTGTGAGAGGGAACTAGAATTTCTCCAGCATGCATGCAACTCTCCCAGGTTCTCTTCTGAGGGGGGCATGGTGAAGGCTGCTGGGGCACCTAAAAATGTCACTCACTCGAGGTGATTTTGGTTGAGGAGGGTCCATCTGAGATGAGCCCTACGGATAATTGCCCCTATCATCTGGAACAGGAGCCAGCCACGAGGCCTTAGAAACCATCTCATGGGAGAGGGCATCCCCCCCATACTCCCAAACTATGTGGCGGATGGAGATCAGGAGATGGAGTCGGAGTCAGCTGAGGAGGAGACAACGCCCCTAGTGAGCTCACACCAGCCAGGAGGTGTTCCACCTCAGCTTGTCAAGCAGCCCTCACTACTGTCCTAGGCATGTAGCTACAGTTTTTGCAGGGATCTTCAGACAGTCCCTCCCTCAGATGCTCAAGGCACATGCAGCGATCATGACTGTCCTCATGCTGCATAGGAGCCATACAGGCAGTACAACAGTGATTGCCCAACATAGTGGCAGCTGTCAGCACTGACTGAGGACAAAACAAGAAGCTGGGAGCAGGGAAGCATGAGCATGTCAGAAACGTACAATAGAGTTGCAACCCAGATCCAATACCAACTCCCAGGTGCTGGGAGTAGGAGCGCTCACTCTACCTTCACCATCAAAGTGCATGTACAAAACCACACAGATACAACCACAGTTGTTATTAAACATATTAAGTTGGCCTCAGTGGAAGCACTATTGACTGAATAAATCAATACAGTACATTTATGCTGGAGTGGGAGCAGAAACACTGCCTGTCCCA